TCTGTCCAGTGGGACGAGGGAGCTGCCATTTCTTGTGTTGATTTGGGGTGTTGAGAAACCACTTCTGACTCCAAAGGCTCTGATCTGCACTCTAGATGTCTTATGATATTCCTGGATTTTCATCTGAGATTTTTGTCTATGAAGCCTCAAATAGTCATTCAACAAACATCTGTAAGTAAGATGTGTGCCTGCTCTTTTTTTTTTTGAGTTGGAGTCTCACTCGGTCGCCCAGACTGGAGTGCAGTGGCCGGGACACCGCAGCCTCGACCTGCTGGGCTCCGGCGATCCTTCCGCCTCAGCCTTCCAAGTAGCCGAAATTACAGGCGCGCGCTACCACGTCCGGCTAATTTTTAAATTTTATTGTAGAGATGAGGTCTCCCTGCCCAGGTGGGTCTTGAACCCGAGGGCTCAGGCAATCCACTCACCTCAGCCTCCCAAAGGCGTGGGATTACAGGCTGAGCCACTGAGCCGTGCCTGCTCTTAAGTGCTTCCTACACATCATGTCATTCAACTGCCCCCTCAGCTCGGCAAGGGAGGGGACAGTCTAACTCAATACTGACGAAATGAGACATGGAGAGCTTGTGTGGCGTTTGCAGGACTGCTGATAGCTGGAATGTGGGTTAAGGGAGTCCTACCCTGGCCAACTGTGCGATCCTGGGCTTCCTTTAGCTTACTGGGCCTTGGTTGTCCCATCTTTAAAACGGGGATCATAATGGATTGGGATTTGGTGAGGATTGAAAGAGGCGGCATATTTGAGGAAGGACTTGGAGAGCCGTGAAGCACTCATCAAGTCAGTGTCACTCTTGTGTCTTTAAGAATGTCAGCTTGAACCAGGCTTGGTGGCTCAGCCTGTAATCCCGCGCCTTTGGGAGGCTGAGGTGAGTGGATTGCCTGAACCCGCGGGTTCAAGACCTGCCTGGGCAGCGAGACCTCATCTCTACAATAAATCAAAAAATCAGCCGGGTGTGGTAGTGCGTGCCTGTAATTCCGGCTACTCGGAAGGCTGAGGCGGAAGGATCGCCGGAGCCCAGCAGGCGAGGCTGTGGTGGCCGGGAGCGGCCACTGCACTCCAGTCTGGGCGACCAAGTGAGACTCCAACTCAAAAAAAAAAAGCATGTCAACTTGCAGCCCATGAAGCTGTGGCTCATGGCTTTAGAAGAGAGGACCTGGGAGGAGCTGGTAGGCGAGCCCTTGCCCCCTTCTCTTCTATGGGGTGGGGGTGGCAAGATGCGGGGGCTCACTGAAGATAGCGTTGTCACAAAAGAGTTGAGCATGGTATGTGTTCAGAGGTGTGGGCAGGGCTTAGGGAAACCCGGAGGAGCAGCAAAGCACTGGGAGGAGTAGCCTGTGACCTGTGACTACCAGTCCCTGGCCTGCAGGAGCCAAATGTAGAGACGCAGGGGGGCTACAGGGACAGGGGTATCTTCCCAGTCCCCACCCCCTCCCCCACCAGTACTCTCCAGGGGTCAAAACAACCGGACACTGGAGGGAGGGCCGGGCAGTGGGACAAGATCCCCTAGTCTCAAAGCACATCACTGATTGTCCAGACTCAGGTAGGTGGTCCACAATCCTTACCCGCCCTCATCTCTGCCCTTTTTGTGGCCGAAAGGGACACTGATGCCTAGCCTAGTTGGTGCTGGGTTGTGCTGCTGTGGCCTGAGCATTGGGCTGAATGTCCAGGGGGCTGGGGATGCTCTGGTGGATGTGGGATGTGGTGGTCAGAGTCGGTTGCAAAGTCTCCATGTCATCTGATTAGAACTTCATGGGATATGGGTGCTATGGACAGAGATGGAGGGGAAGGTGTGGCCAGAAAAAATGTGTCTTGGAGCCATGGCAGACATTTCCCCTGTAAAATAATTCCTTTAGTGATGCCATGTCATGATGCCATCTGGAAATGAGCTGTGGGGCAGAGGGAGTTCTGCGGGGATTTCATGAGGCAAATGGAGCAAGCCAGGTTCGTTAAAAGGGGATGTTATCTCCCCAAAACAGAGAGGCTTGGATCAAGGGGCAAGCAGCATCCTCTGGGCCTTACTAAATTAGTGCTGATGCTGCCATTTCTTCTTTTCTTTTGAATTGGGATCTCACTGTGTCACCTGGGCTGGAGTGCAGTTGCACAATCATGGCTTACCGCAGTCTCAACCTCTTGGGCTCAGGCAGTCCTCTCGCCTCAGCCTCTGCAGTAGCTGAGACTACAGGCAGACACCACCATACCTGGCTAATTTTTTAATTTTTTTTTTGTAGAGACAAGGTCTCTCTCTATTGCCCGGGCTGGTCTCGAACTCCTGGGCTCAAGCAATCCTCCCACCTTAGCTTCCCAAAGTGCTGGGATTGCAGGCGTGAGCAGCATGCCCCACCAATGCTGCCACCTCTAATTACCGTCCTGTAGGATAGGGTCTGAGATCCAGGGCTCTGTGCAGGGATAGGAGTGAAGTCAGTGGTGCATGTCATATCTTGGATGGGAAACCAGATTTCCTCCCAGAGTTTTTCAGAAATGAAATTGGTTTACTTGCACCAAAAAAATTTTAAATGCATCAATTGTTTTATTCTCTCTCTCTCTTTTTTTCTTTTTTTGGGAGTTGGATTCTCACTCTGTTGCCCAGGCTAGAGACCTGCTGGGCTTAGGCAATCCTTCCACCTCAGCCTTCCAAGTAGCTGGAACTACAGATGCATACCACAACACCCAGCCAGTTTTTGTGATTTATTGTGGAGACGAGGTCTCACCAAGTTGCCCAGGCTGGTCTTGAACCCCTGGGTTCAGGCAATCCTCTCGCCTTGGCCTCCCAAAGTGCTGGGATTACAGGCTTTAGCCACTGAGCCTGGCCTGTTTTATTCTCTTAAGGTAGATGATATTGAGGCAGATTTCACCAAGTATGCCCTGATTTTTCAAAGAAAAAATGGTATTTTATTAGACTCAATGAATCACCTATAATCCAAGTTGGCTTAAGCAGAAAAGCAAGGGACTTGTCTTTCTCCATCTCTCAACTCTATCTTCTGCCATTGGCTTCATTTTTCTAAAGTTCCATGTGGTGACCTTTTGGTAGTTCCAGACCCACATCCTCCCAGGTTTAGGTCCAGGACAAGAAATTCATTAAAAAGTATCTCTTTTAAGTCCGTAGTTTTGAAGTCTTGGAATTCACTGTGATTAGACTAGATTAGGCCATTGATCATTCCTCAACTTTTCTCTTTGATCCAGGGATATGGTACTGGGACAGGTCAGTCTTAGTCTATTCTTGGTGCCATTGCAGGGCTGTGCGTGCGTGTGTGTGTGTGTGTGAGAGAGAGAAAGTGTGTATAATACTGGCCAGGGCAGGGATGGAGTGCTGTTGGCTAAGACGGTGACTGCCCTCTTGGTCTGCTTTATCCGTAGGCCAGGAGCCCTCTTCCTTTAGGATTGTGGGCCTGGACTGCGGATCATAGCTTGTGTCTGTGGGTATCGTCCTGTAGGGGCAGGACAGGAGGGGTGAGATGGTGCCTCTGGCACCTGCTGGTGGTGGGCACCAGCCTCCCCTGCCCCTATGTGGTCTCAGCAAGTTCCTGGCCCTCTGTCCATTTCGATATACTTTGTGTAGAGGTTGCCTCCTGCCGTTGTGTGATCATTTTGCCTTTGGGCCCCCTCTCAGCCTGAGCCCTTCTTGAGGGGCACAAACCCTGTCGGTTCTCCTCGTGTCCAAGGCCCCACTCCACTCCCAGGACATGATTTTTATTTTTTGTTTGTTTTGAGTTGGAGTCTCACTCTGTCGCCCAGACTGGAGTGCAATGGCCGCTCCTGGCCACCAC